TGTGTGTGTGTGTGTGTGTGTGTGTGTGTGTTGCTAGTACACTTCTACATTTGCCATGAGACACCCATAGAGGGTTAGAATGTACCAGAATGGCCATGCATTGAGATGTCCAGACAGTTTCTGCTCCTGGTATTGGAACACCCCACACCCTCCAGCTGCACACCATCCTTCCACTGTTCTTAGCAACATACGTGCATACACAGGAGGCCATCCACCTACCCAGCATTGCAATCATTTGTTCGCCATTTCAGCTCTCCCAAAGCCGAGTCCCACGCTAACACATGTCCACTGCTAGTGCCCACCGCCAGCAGCCGCTGCTTGTGACCGATCTTCCCCTCTTTCTTCTTCTTGCTCTGCAAACCATGTTCCATTCGGCAGTGCGGATCAAATGTCACATCGTTAGACTGACCGCAACAGTTTCATTGCAAAAGACCAAGAAAGAAAACAAGAGGTAGTTTGCCACAACAGGAGGCACTGGTGTACCCAGAAAAAGAAAGCAACAAAGAAGGAAAGAACGAAAGAAAGAGTGAATGAAGGAAAGTGTGAAAGAGAGGAGGAAAGAAAGAAAGAAAGAAAGAAAGAAAGAAAGAAAGAAGGAAAGAGCAAAAGAAAGAAAGAAAGAAAGAAAGAAAGAAAGAAAGAAAGAAAGAAAGAAAGAAGGAAGGAAAGAGCGAAAGACAGACCAAAAGAGTGAAACAAGGGAAAGAACGAAGGAAAGAAAGAGCGAAAGAAGGCAGGCAAGAAACAAGGAAGGAAAGGCACAAGCAAAGGAAGAAATAAAGAAAGGACAAAGAATCAAGCAAACGAGGAGGAAAGAAATCAAGGGAGGGAAAAAAAGAAGGAACAAAAGATGTGAGGTCGTAAATCTGGTATACATCAGAACCTGCGAGCTTCTCCTTGTTTTTTCAAAATTACTTGTGACAGATATGTAATAAATCTATTGATCATAAGTCCTTCGGGGACATCCGGTAAAAAAATTTGAACGATACAGAGAAAGAAGATCAGCATGGCCCCTGCGCAATGATGACACGCCTAAATTCAGAGGGGGGGGGGGGCGCGGAACAAAAAGTTAATCGAAGTGTACTCATTTACGATACTTGTGATCTAAAAAGGAAATGTGAGCAGCACCAAAATTAGTAAATTTTTACTCAGGAGTTTGACAAAAGCGGAATTTGCCATAAGAGGAAATTGCCATAATCTCACCTTTGCAGTATCGACAGAGATCTCGCCCCAAGCTAGCACCGTGTAATCCATTGCCAGAGCCCCGTTTGACTCTAATAAAGACCCATCACCACCGCCAACCTGGTAAACGAATTCCGCATGGAGTTGACCTGTCGATACATCCCAAGTCTGAACGCCAGAACAAGAAATCCAATTAAAAAAAAAAAAAAAAAAAAAAAAAAAAAAAAAAAAAAAAAAAAAAAAAAAAAAAAAAAAAAAAGAAAAAAAAAAAAACGAATAAATATAAGCCAAACCAGCAAACACATACAGCAACAAGGAGGATGACAAACGGAGAAAGGTCCATCAAAACCCAACTTCACAGATCT